TAGTTGGCCGGATGACGTCGTAGAGGTGCGAATTGAGCTCCCCAAGGTGGCTCGATGGCGCAGTTGATGGCCTAGTGACCTGCAGGGCCGCGGAGAACGCTCTGGCCACGCTGCGCCACCGCATCTGCTGCCACAACGGGATACTCCACATCGGCAACTTCCGATACCCTTCAAGCCAACGACGTTGCTGGCCGTCGGCGCGTAGTTGCACTGGGTCACCTGCGTTCTCGGCACTGCGCTGCTCTGCGCGCCTAAGTCGAGCACGATGGCACTCCGAAGCGCGGCTAACCGCAGTCGGTCGCTGTCCAGCACCTGCCCCTGCAGGCCCCCGATCTCGAGCAGCGCGGGCCCGACCGCAGCTGACTCGCAGCAGCTACAAGGAGTCGAGCTTCGAGTGCTTGCACTGGCCCAGGCAGTGTTCTGCGCACGCCCCGCAGAAGTCCACTCTGCGCAGTGCCATCTTCTGCCCCTGAACATCTTGTTGCACGAGATGCAGATGAACTCGCGGTACGCGGGCAGGGTGTACTTCCAGTCGATCCTGCGGGTTCGTGCTTTGTGACCTCGGCCCTCAGTCCCAGCGTCATCTTCGCCCGCAGCCCTCTGCAGACTGGCGAGGCGACGGGCAATGCCACTGCGCTCTCGGCACTGCTGCGCGCCCCTGGCAGAGGCTGCGCATGCATCGTCGACCCTGTCGCTGGAGCTACTCTTGATTGCAGCATCCTCTCGAGCTCTTTCACTGTTGCTGTCGCGACCCTCTTCTTCTCTTCGACATGTTCCTTCCTGTGTTGCTTCTTGTCCCTGTTGCCGCGGCTGGCGGCTGCCTTCTTCTCGACGGCCACCCGCTCGCGGCAACTGGCGATTCGGTGGACTTTCTTGCGGCAGTAGTTGAACTCCAGGTCGGCGTCTGGGTCCGGAGCCCCTCATTGCCCTTGCCTCCCACGCCTTTGCCACGGGCTCTCCGCGCCTTCTTGCCGACCTTCAACCCGCCGATGTCCATCAGATCGTCGTGGGCCTCTCGCTCCGCCGTCAGCGCCGACACGACTTCGGCTCGCAGGAGTTCGCACGTGCTCAGCCGACTGCCTCTTCGAAACACGAGCTTCTGCAACTCTGCGTGATCCTCGAGCGCCTTGGCGAGGATTCCTCGCTTGATGGGATTCGACACTGGCTCGCCCGACATCTTCTGGCACCTCGCCATGTCCTCGTCGAACTTGCCGATACTCACAGTCACGTCGTCTGTTGCCTCGAACTTCGCGCCCGTAAGCTCGGCCCACATCAGCAGCGCGTTGCCTGCTTCGTTCGTTATGTACTCCTTCAAAAACTGCCTCCAGCAAGCTGCTCCTTCGCCCGCGCTGCTGTTCCTGACGATCACCTCGCCTACTGAGTCCTCGGGCATGACTAGGACCAGGGCGAAGTACAGCTGCGTGCTTAGCCCCTCCTCTTGGGCTGACAGGTTCACGTTGTCCACGTCCTGCGCTCCATCTTCGCGCTTATCGAGCAGGGGTCAATACCTTCGGTCTTGCGCGATCAGGTTAGCTTCGCACTGGAAGCTGAACGTCTTCCAACTCGCTCTCTGACCGTCGAACGGCTTCGCTTTGCGAAGCATTTTCGGGTCCATCATCTCGCCGCGGGACCCTCGTTCTCTGTCGGCTTGTCCTTGAAGCTGGCCTCGCATCTCGGCTATCGATAGATCTCGCTGCCGAAGCTCGTTCCTCATCTGCTGACTCTCCGCCATCGGATTCTGCACTTGCTCGACCAGCTCTCGCACTTGACCCTCCATCATCCTTGTCGGCCTTCGCCTGACGCTGGAGATCGAGCGCGAGCTGTCGCTTCACCGCTGCTCGCTCCTTCTCCGTAAGCTGAGCTGCGTCACCGCACTCGGCCAACTTCCTCTAAGCGCTCCCTCGGTTCTGGCGGTGGGCTCTCGCCTCTGGGGCTCTGCCACCGCGTTTGTTCGCCTTCTTCGCCTTGCGCTCGCTCGCAGGCTTAGCCTTGAAATTGCTCGAAGGCTCGAGTCGAAATCTCGTTCCGACCTCCTCGCCAGGGCGCGGGTCCTCCCGCAGCTCTGGCCAATAAGGGTATACCGTTGGAGAGCAGCGCGGATCGTCTCGCCACTGGCTCCGCGGCCCTACCGCCGCTGGGTTTCCTCGAAGGGCCCCTTGAACTCGCCGGGTGCGGAGCTGGCCCGCAAGCCTCAAGCGAGCTCCACTACCATGCACGTGCCCCCCACCACCGTCGCGGAGAAAGGGGAAGGCATGTATGTATGTATGTCTGTCTGTCTGTCTGTCTGTCTGTCTGTCTGTATGTATGTATGTATGTATGCATGTAGGCATATATGCATAAATATGTATATGTACGTGTATATATATATATATATATATATATATATATATCCGCTGGCCCCCCTCAAGGGCGCAAGGCTGCGAAGGTGTGTGCGGTCAGCTGTCATGTGTTATGTGTTGCCATTCGTTGTTCCCCACATGAATGACATGCGAATCGCCTGTATCCACGGGCCGATACCATCCGCAACCAGACGCACCCACGGCTATATCGAACGCGTCGCCTCAGGGGACCTCTAAAATGTTGTTAACAACTGCCGATTGCCCTTTTTGAAGCGGCCCTCCTGTCTTGGAATCCGTTGCAGGTGCAGTCCAATCGAGGCCAGAAGAACACCCCTCAAGAACATGAGACCCTCCGTCTGCCAGAACAAAGAAAGCATGCAAGGGTACCCTCCCCAGGATGCACAAGAACATCCAACAAACACGAAAGGCACGAGGGCACCCTCCCCGAACCGACCTCGATCTTTGACTTCAGCCCGATTGTAGAGCGGCGTTCATGCGCATCTCCGAGCGGAACTCGAGGTCAAAATGGTTGTGCCGTGCCGTCGTAGGCATGATGTAGAAGCCGTTCGTAGTCTCCGATCGTGTCAACGCGTCGGCGTTCGACCGCTAGCGAAAACAAGGCAATGCCATGGCGGCGGCGGAAAGTCCCCTACTGGAAGTGACTGCTCGGTGGCGTGTGGCGGTGATGGTGCTCTCTGAACGTGGCGAGCCCTGCGCACATCGGTATGATGCCAAAGATCGTGTCGCAGCTCAGCTGCTGATGTGAATGATGATGTTTTGTTTAGCCTTTGGCGAAAGGGCCCCCTGGGAGCCAAACGGCCGCGAGTGGCGCACGCACGTATCTTATACGCACACTCGATCACAATTGTTGATGACGTTTGCCTCGCCAGGGGTCGTCCAGACGCCTTATAGCAAGTATTGCCGCTGACTTCGGACGTTTCCGGTATCAATTTTGCATGATTATGGGCCCAACTGGGGCCCCCAAAACGGAGCCAAAAGCCGCCCAGATATGGGCCCAGTTTCAATGGAAATGCGAACGGAGCTCGAGCCCACTATGGAGATGCTCGCGGTTGAATCGTCCATAGGCCCGCCAGGGCAGCATCGGGCTCTTTTTGGGCCCATTTTTCTTTTCAGGGCCCTATTCGGCCCTTGAGGGCGCGGCTTCGCCCTTCAGGGCAACTATTAGGTCGTTTTGGAACCGTCTGTGGCTGGTCGTCAGCAGTGCTCTGGTAATCTGGGGCCTCCTGCTGTGGATGGGGAGCAAAAGTCAGGAGAGCCAGCGTCCAGATCAATGAACCGCTGGTCATGATGACGGGCCGACGACCGATCACCGATTTTTACATCGATCGGTCACGCGGCATACCTAGGCCCAATCGGTGATGAATGCACGTGAAATGAAAGCGCAGGATAAAAATACAAAGCACACCTGTGGGGGTCGTTCACCGTTTTCGGAGTACTGCCACCCTGTCTTGGCGCCGTCTTCGCCTCTTCCGGCGGAAACTGGGATGGGCAGGCGGTGAACGCGAAGCGTCTTAGACTTGAAGGTTCCGCTACTCGCAAAGTAGCTACTCGCAAATGGCATGGATCCGTGGCGTCGAAGCAAAAAGGCTCCTTTGCATCGAGAAACACGTTTACTGTTCGTTTGCGAGTGGGCACTCTGCGAGTAGTGGAACGCCCTCAGTGAGAGGTTGAACAATCAGCCCAAGTAGCTGATTTTCCCAGCGCCTCTCGGCGCCGAGGCGCCAGCGTATCAAGGAAAGCGCCCGCAAGGCGGGGACGAGACCAGCTGCACGCAGCAGAGCTCGTAACACCCCCTGCCCAGATCCCCCCCTTTCGTCCGTCCCGATTCTGTTGAGAGACGGTCTCTTCCTATCAAGAGGCGGCCTCCTGATGAGCAGCGATAGGGAAGGAACGGCCTCTTCCTATCAAGGGCCGGCCTCTGGAGGAGCAGCGATAGGGAAGGACCGGCTCAGGGGCAGAGACATCGGCGCGGAATCGGCGACACATCGCCATTGGATCGGCGCTTGGCCCCCAGGAAGCGAATCCGCACGCTCTTGGGCGAAGCGGGCCATCGGGACCTTGTGCGCGGTTGAGAGTCGATGCGCGCCCTCCTAAGCCTGACCCCCCCTTGACGTTGCCCATTACCGCCCTCCTCCTCTCTCCGCCTGGCCATGTGGGCGTGAGCCACGCGGGGGGCTGCACCGCGCGGCGCGTCTGCAGCTCTGTCTTCCATGCGCAGCGGTTGTTCCCTCCTCCTCCTTCTGGATCCTGGTTCCTGATGGCACGTGAGCTCTCCGAACGCTGCCCTCCTCCTCCTCCTCCTCCTGACTCCTGATTCCTGAAGGCTGAACAGAACGTCGTTCGTAGCCTTCACTCCTCCTCCTCCTCCTCCTCCTCCTCCTCTTCCTCCTCCTCCTCTTCCTCCTCCTTCCATCCATCCCCCATCCCTCTCCCATCCCTCCTGCTCCGCCCCCACCCCCCTGGGGAGAAGCCGCCCCCGCCCGATAAGGCCACACGCAAACACGCACACACACACACACACACACGCACACACACACACACACACACACACACACGCACGCACGCACGCACACACACACACACACACACACACACACGCACACACACACACACACACACACGCACTCGCACACACCTGGCGGTCCTGGCATGTCCACCGCGCCGGCGCCCGCGGGCAGCTCGTCCGCCGAGCCAGCGGCGCCGCGGAGGGATAGCGGCCTGGCGAGGAGGTCGAAGTCCTTTGGGGGGGTCCGTCCCCTCCCTCTCTCCGCAAAGGCAGGTCCGTGGGCTACTGGTCTTTGACGACGGCGCTGCTTGTGGTGGAAAGGGAGGCTTGAAGGGACTTATGAGAAGGGGACCTGGGACGGGAGGGCGTATTGCAGCAGCGATAAAGTATCTTGGGTTTCCTCTTCCTCCTCCTCCTCCTCCTCAGCAGCGGCACTTGTATCATCATCATTATCACCATCAGCACCACAATCATAATCACCAAAAACACACATCATTATCATCATCACCACCACCATCATCAGCAGCAGCAACATCAGTATCATCAGCATCGGCATTATCACCATCATCACCAGCAACAGCATCATCAGCATCAGCATCAGCATCGACATCAGCATCACCAACAGCATCAGCATCATCATCATGATCATCACCACCACCATCACCATCATCGTCTTCAGATCGTCGTTTTACTCATCATTGTCATCACCACCACAACTATCCTCGTCGTCATCGTCATCCCGCTCCTAAGTATCAGCAGCAGCATCATCAGCAACAGCATCATCGTCATCAGCATCGCCATCCTCAGAATAGCATTAAGTATTATCAGCATCAATACCATCATCATCGGTATCATCACCAGCATCAGCATCATCATCAGCAGCAGCAACAACATCAGCAGCATCATCATCATTATCTTCATCATCACCAGCAGCAGCAACATTAGCATCCCCCTCTCCCCTTCGCCCTCATCTTTTAACGTTCGGCGAAATTGAGCAACTAGGCTGACCGTTCTAGCGACAAGGAAAATAGTAGCATCAGACCATCGTCAATGTCCCACCGCTATCTTGACAGTGCTGGCGCCTGCGGTGGCGCGCTACAGTGCAGGGCCAACGATTCAATTCCCTGAACGTCCATCGGGGATTGCAGGGCCAATGTAACGATGCCCTGGCAGCTGTCAAGGATAGGCCAATGTAAAGATGTCCCAGGCTATTGACGATGGTTCTTGCCTCAAGTCAGACAAAATGTTACATCCAACCCCCTCCACTCGTATCAGTCAATCACCTCCACCTCCACCTCTTACATACTGTCGTCGCCGAGGGTCCTGGACAATTTAAACTCATGTTTGAAGTTGCCTCTGAGAGATTCTGGCGCCGACGCGCTCCGTGGGGTCGCGCTGGTGGTCGGCACTGCTCCTCCCCCTTCTCCCCATCCCCCCCCCCTCCTCCTCTCCCTCCTCCTTTTGCCCTCCTCCCCCCCCCCTCCCCTTCCTCCCTCCTTCCTTCTCCACCTCCACCACCACCTCCTCCTCCTCCTTTCCCTCTTGTTCCTCATCCTCTTATTATTATTACTCATCCTAGTATTCTTCTGGTTATACTGATTATTCGTTCATGATCTTATTAATAGTATTATTAATAGTATTAGCATCATCGTTCCTCCTAGTCTTCTCATTACAATTTTTAATGAGTCATGTGATTCGTCTTCTTCGTCTTCGTCTTCCTCTTCTTCCCCCTCCTCCTCCTACTCCTCCTCCGCTTCCTCCTCCTCCTCCTCCTCCTCCTCCTCCTGCTCCTCCACTCCCTCCTCCTGCACAATTACACAATATGAATACTACTCTCCCACTTCCCCTGATGGCGTCCGGAAGATGTTCGGCACCCCCCCGCGTACTGTTTTTTTACACACAGGATTCCCCGGAGTTGGGTTTTCGCTTGCGTTTTTTCTAAAATGCTGCTCTCGCTGAGGCGCTGGCCTAATTTTCGGGCTCCCGCTCCTTCCGAATCGTGTTCCCGCTGCAGCGCTGGCCTCATTTCCGCGCTCCCGCTCGTTCCGAATCGTGCTCCCGCTGCAGCGCTGGCCCAATTCTGCGCCTCTCGTTGTTCCAAAACGTGCTCCCGCTGCAGCGCCGACGTTTTCGATCCTTTTTAAGAAGCCCCAAATCTAGAAAATGATCCCCGGCAAAAACATTGGAGGTGATTACACATCCGGTGTCGATTCGTTGATTTTTGGGGCCGCAGAAAGCCCCCCCCCCCTTTGGGCGGCGTCCTTTCCCGCACAGGATTCCCGGGAGTTTGGTTTTCATCTATGTTTTTGAAAATCCGAGTCTTTTTCCTGTTTTTTTGTAGAGTTTCCACCTGACGAGAGATCTAGAGACGTTTAGTCGTTACTAGAGGGTTGAAATCTAGGATGAGACTAACGGTATTTTGTTACTCAAGTTTTTGAGACTTTTTCCCCCGGGTTTCACCCCCCCCTTTACGACGTAGGCCCCTTCCCTCCCCTCGATGTATATAGGAAAATATATGTTTTTGGACCCATCCCGGCTGCCCGTTTCGTCCTATTTTCCGCGCCGCTGGTCGTTCCAACTCGTGCTGCCGCTGCAGTGCAACGGTCCCCGGCCCCATGCTATGATATGCTCCGCTCCAGTGGCGTTCTTCGGCTCTTCAACAATGGTGCTCCCGCTGCAGCATTGGTCCCATGTCTGCGCCTCTGCTCATTCCAAATCGTGCTGCCGTATTGTTTTCTTGGCACTACGGCACTCTTCGGCTCTTCAACATGTCGCTCCCGCTGCAGCGTCGGTCCCATTTCTGCGCCTCTGGTCGTTCCAGATCGTGCTGCCGCTGCAGCGCATGCGTCCCGCGTCCCATGCTATGACATACTACGCTCAGCATTGCTCTTCTGCGCCATGCTATGACATGCAACGCTCTGCAGTGCTATGGCATGCTACGCTCTGGGCTCCATCGCTGGTGCTTTCAATTGTGCTCTCGCCTTAGCGCCTTTCCCCTTTGCGGCCTATCTTACACATAATCCGCTTCCGACCCCCCTGATCCTTTTCCACCTCTTTCTTGTTCCTCCTGATCCCCCCCAACCTCCTGATCCTTTTCTTCCTCCGCCTCCTCTTGTTTCGCCAGCCGTGTACCCCGACAGCGAGTATGGGGACCCCGTTGGTTTTCAGTATCCCTGGAATCTGGCTTCGTTCGCCCTGCACCCTGCGGTCGTCATTTTTTTTCGACGTTGTCGTGCTTGTTTCGATGCCTCACTACGCAATGCCACAACCCGCTATGACATGCTACGCTCTGCAGTGGTTTTCTACGCCATGCTATGGCATGCTACGCTCTGTAGTGCTATGACATGCTACGCGCGTAACGGCAGCGGGCAGCTGGCGCGGGTGCCGCTCCGGCGCGGTCGCGTCGTCGTCGTCGTCGTCTTCGTCGCCGGTCGTCCTCATCGTCGTCGTCGTCGTCGTCGCCGCCGTCGTCGTCGTCGTCGTGGTTGTCGTCGTCGTCGTCGTCTTCGTCGTCGTCGTCGTCTTCGTTTTCATCGCGCCGTCGTCCTCCTCCTTTCCCACTTAGGTAACAGGGTCAGATGCGAAGCCCGATTCGGTGAGAGGACAATGAAGTAGCTCAATGGGAAGGGATGGGTGGGAGGGGTAGGATGTCAGATGTTGACGCGAGCGCACCTAGCTTGCCTCCTCCCCCTCCTCCCCCACCTCCTCCTCCTCCACCCCCTTCTCCTCCACCTCCTCCTCCTTCTCCTCCTTCTCCTCCACCTCCTCCTCCTTTTCCTCCACCTCCTCCTCCTCATCATCATAATCATCAGCATCAGCATCAGCATCAGCATCAGCAGCAGCATCATCATCATCATCATCATCATCATCATCATCATCATCATCACCATCACCATCACCATCACCATCATCATCATCATCATCATCATCATCATCATCATCATCATCATCATCCTCATCATCATAATCATCATCATCATAATAATCATCATCATCATCATCATCATCATAATCATCATCATCATCTTCATCATGATCATCATCATCATAATCATCATCATCATCATAATCATCATCATCATCATCATCATCATCATCATCATCATCATCATCATCCATTTGTCCTCCTCCGCCTCCTCCTCCTCCTCCTCCTTCTCCTCTTCCTCCTCTTCCCTTTTTACTCTTCCACTTCCTTCTCCTCCTCCTCCTCCTCCTTCTCCTCCTCCTCCTCCTCCTCATCCTCCTCCTCCTCCTCGCATCTTTCTTTTAGTCGCGGCCGCAAGCGGAAGCGCAGGCAGCGTCCGAAAAGGTCGGGCGGGCTACGCGCAAGCCTAATTGCCTAGCGCACGGGGACCGACGGCCGAACCTAAGCTGCCTAAGTTGCCGGGCGGCGCGAGGTGGTGCCAGGAAGCGGGGCAGAACCCGACGCCTGCCGGCGGGCGATGCAAACTGCAACCAGACCAGGATCCGGGGGCAGTGCCGATGCACGAATTGAACCAAGGAGCTATATGCAGTCAAATTGGCGCGACAGGGTCACAGACAGCGAGCTGACAAGTGGCCGCTGAGGGCGAGGACTAGACGTAGGATAAACCACGCGAGGCATCCATGCACCCAGCCCCTGAAGAGGGCAGCTCGCTTGCAATACACTCCAGGAGGTAATACTGACACCGATGGCCGGGAATACGCCACTGACCAGGAACTAGTACGAGTGGCGCCACCCCATTTCGCATCTTTCACGATACCACGACATTTTGGGGCGGGCGCTTCGGGCCTCGCCCCTCTTTCGCCCCCCCGCGGGGGGAGGGGCGGGGGGCAGGGAGGGGAGAGGGGGCGAGGGTCCGTGGTACGATCTGGCTGGGCTGCCTCCTTACCCCAAGGAGGTAGAGGCGGCGGTGATGCAACGGTGGCACGGCAGGCAGTGCGTGCTCGACGGGAGGAAGGAAAAGGCAAACGAAGGCAGGCCAGGAGGCATCCCACATGCCGGACATGCTGAGAAGAACGAGGCTTGAGGCTGTCCACCAACGGCGGCGCTCCCGAGCGGGAGGGGGAGAGGAAAAGGACAGGAGGGGGAGGCCCCGACCCGTACTGCAGTGGACCACCCTGTCTGATACGCGCCGCCACGCTGGTCCCGGGCAGGCTGTGCTGCCCGGCGGAGGAGGGAGGAGGGAGGGAGGGAGGAAGAAAGGGGCCAAGGGATGAGGGAGCAAGGCGCGGCGGGGCAGGGGCCGCCCGGC